CCAGCGCCAGCTGCGAGGCCACGGGCGAGGAGCGCTCGCTGCGGGCGCGCGGCGGCGCGAGCGGCGCGCGCGCGGGCGAGGGCTGCGGCGAGGCGCGCGGGCGCTCGGAGTGGGAGCGCGCGCGGGCGGCCGGCGCGCGGCTGGCGGGCGTGACGTCGCTGAGCGAGCGCAGGTGGATGCGGCGGCGCACGCACGGCGAGTCGGCGTCGGTCACGTTGATGCTGATGTTGTGGGCGGGGCGAGGACTCCTCGGCTCCTCCGGCGCGTTGCCGGCGGTCTCGTTCCCGTCGCTCTCGCCTTTGTCGTGGGGCGTTGAGCCCTTAGCGTTAGTTGAGTTTTTGATGGGGCCGGTCCGACTTGGCCCGGCCCCCGCTAGCTAGAGGAGTCTCTCTGTCGCCGAACTGGAGGTCCCGGAACTCAAAGTAGAAGCGGGATTTTGGTCTTCGCCTGGTGAATAAAGAAATAAATATGTTGTACGGATACCATTCTACATTTATTGTATTCGCGGTATCGCCATTTTCAAAATACTTCCTAAAATAGTAAGACCCGTGTCTTACTATTTTATAATTGAAATGGAACGCGAAAGTATAAAATCTTATACTTCCTAAAATTGGTGCTAAATAAATACAGTCGATCGATGTATGTCTAATATTAAACGAATTTTGTTGAAGCTATGCTTGAGAATCGAATAATCGGTAGCAGCAAATGATAGTAATTTCTGACGCAGTTGGATAAATGAGCGGGTCACGCAAACCGTCACATAAGTCCCGGTATAAATAAATCTGCTGTACAAATCGCCTAAGTGAATGAGGTTGCCGTCATCAATCTGCCAGGCTATGCTGGCGGGTAAGCGGCTTTGAGAAGTAGTGCGCTAAAAAAGCTTTTAGTCAATCAATGAATAGCCTTACCTTGAGTAGTCTGGCCTGTGGCCGGCAGTCTTTGTCAGTTGAGCAACTCGACGGAAACAAAACGTTTCAGCCTCTCTAAATATTGGTTGAAAAGCTCAACGTCATTGTGCCCTGCACCCTGTAATATGAGAAAATACGTAGGAATATAGTAAAGTATATAAAATATTATTCTAGTAACCAACGAAATACTGCGATAGTGAAATTTTGATATAAAGAACCTATAGAATCATGTAAGATGATGTTAACCAGTCTTACATTATCAGTCTAGACATTAAGGTTAAAATTAAATCAAGGTTATCTGTATGAAATGGACAATATAATCAAGTAACCGCGCGTAATCAAGAGTTAATTATAAATAAATAAATATAATTTCTACATAACCACAATGTCAAGAGGGCACGCGCGACTGACAAGAAAACTTAGTAAATATTTGGAGGCAACAATACGAGTAATAGTATGAATTTTATATGGGTTTACGTCAGAAACATCAAATGACACCCCTTTTTAAGCAATAAACTTTCTTGCGTTACTTCTTAATATAGTCGAGAAATAGCTTATCGCATAATTATTTTATGTATCTTTTTTTAAACAATGATTTTTTCGGCGGTAAAATGTACCTATCCTTTAAGTCGCGGTTCTGGTTCTTCAGGTCTACAGTTGTAAATCTAATATTGCTATTATAGTAGCGGCTAAAAATGATGCTACCAAAAAAGGAAATTGAAATACATTACCTCCACCCACAAGGGTTCAACAGCTCGTGGGCACCGCTCGTAGATAGCGAGCCCGTGGGAGAAATCGATCACCTCATCTTCAGTTCCGTGTATGACAAGGACTGGAGAGGTCACCTTTGGAATTTTGTCGATACTGAAAATGAATGAAATAGCCAGGTTATAAACCTATGATTATAACAACGAAGGCCTACGTTTAATTTGCTTGAATTTTTTAAAACCTTCATTCTTACTTATAGCCAATTATGTTACTTAGTCTTCTTTATGTTGATGTATTTTCAAGATTTTAATTTCATCAGATACAATAATTTTATTGCACATAATTTTATGCTAAGTATAATTTGGTTTAATTAAAATTTTGAATGTAGCTAACTAAAGGCGAGAATAGATGCTCAAGTTTTAATAGTTTTGAGTGTCGTTCGATAATATGGCCCTGATCAAAGGTTTAAAGTTTTGTACAATTCAATGTTTTTCAATAATGTGCCATTGTGTCTTAAAACACGAATTTTAATTTAAAATACACAAAATGTCAAGGTAAACATAAATCTCTTTATTTACGTATTAGGGTACATACCTACAAGATTCATAACATCCGGTAGGTTAGTTAGTAAGTAAGCATTGAATTCATGGAGGTTAAAGTGGCTATGTTTGAAAGACAGATTTTTTTATGTAGGTACTCATACTACTCATAGAGTGGAAATGATATTTAGATTGATTGGACTGCACCTTAGAGCATCATACCGGACATAATTATCATACCCAGATAATGATGACCAAGATTGCGTGAGTGAACTATAATAGTTCTCATTATTATAACTGCACTGCGGATTATGTTCGTATTTTACGTACATATTTTCGCAGCTTGAGTTCGTTGTTAATTATGTACCGAAAAGAAGTTACAGTTTTGCATAAAAATAGTAGCAAGGGAAGGGTATCGCCGCGTCTTTACCCGAATCTGAGGAGACCGAGAGAGGGTTCGTCAAGCTTCGCAAAGCGGACTCAACGCTAGTTTCGCTTTTTATGATTTAATTTTTGTCTAAAAAATTATAAGTCTCTTAACGCGATGTTTCTAACTAGTGTGCTTAAGGACTCAAATCCTCGAACCCATCCAGTTGGCGAAAAGTCCGTATGGTTAGAAAAATATCCTATTAAAATTCAGGCTTGTGTTCACATGGAAATGTAACACTGGGGAGTGGAGCGTTTCAGTCCTGATCGCTCGACGCAAAAGAGGAAGCCTCAAGATAACAAATGTTACACATATTAAATTAGTGATAGCTAGACATCCCAACCGACGGCGATAGTGATTGTATTGAACGTCATTATGGACGACTAATTGGATAGAACGCCGCCTGTCCGACGGCTCATACGATCTTGTGAACAACTTTTGCTTTATTAAGTAAGGAAAGCAGTCTATGTTGTTCAATTCAATGCTGTTCTTTCTAGTAAAATATTTAGAATTTTATCGTGAAAAAAAAAAAAAAACATTTAATTGAAAAACTAAATAGTAAAAATACTGTTACTATTTCCATCATCTGTTGTACTAAACCTCATATCCTTAATATTTATATGTACCTATAATTTAATTATTTTCTTGGTATGTAGTTTGTAAGTGAAACAAACAGAAATTGTGTTAATATTACATAGTACTAGCTTTCCGTCCGCGGATTTGCGCGCGTGAAAAAAAAAAAGTAAAATAGGTCCATGTGTTGTTGAGTTATGCGGTTACCAACACATTTTGCGATTCGGTTTTATATTATAGATTACTCTTTATTAGTTATATTTTTAATTTAGTCAGCTAATTTGGTTATAGGAAAGTTGCTTTATAACAATCACAACAACCAGTAAAGTATCAAATACCAGTTTAGCAGTCCACCTGTATTCAGACAAGGTCCAATGATTATCTAGGGCTGAATAGTTACCTCCACCTCAGTGAAAGCATAGCAAATTATGTAGCATTACTAGGATTTCATTACAAACATTTGATTCAACCCACATGATGTTATTCAATAGTACATGTATAATTTATGTAATTAAAAACTTTATAGATGCAATGAGTACAATCAATGAAGCATGTAATCTTGGAAATGGAAAGATTTTTATTATTATATAAAATATTTTTTTTGTCTTTTAATGGTGTGTGAGACATACCTATGTCTGTTATATTTATCAAAAAATGTAATTAGGCTAATGAGTATGTATTTGAAAATAATTTAGAATTTCAGGGGCATAATGTGTGCTCTTTTTTTATTTAACAATAAAAAAGGCAACATACTCTCACTTGATACAAGTTCTTAATGCACATCATCAGATTGAAAAGGGACATGAGGGCATGGGCATGAGACGTAATGGATCATACTGCTCAAAGCCCATGGCTCTAAACTTTCTGGAAAGACAATCTGAAAACACTTGAAAAAAAAAACTTGTTTTTGCAATGGGAGAGGGGGAAGAATTTTTGGTAAAGCATAGCAGAGTGAAATTATGAAAATAAATTACAAAAGCTAACCTGAATGAAAACACTTGTGAACTTTGAAAACTAAAACTTGATTGGAATACTTAGGTAGGTAGGTACTTTATCTTTTAATCCTCTCTGCATAAAATATGAAATGCAAGTTATCTTTATTTTTAAGATAAGCCTTATGGGGAATATTAAATTTAGAAAGATTTGTCTACATAATTATAAATGTAGACAGTTGGAACAGTGACTATAAGCATAAGCGTAGAGCCACTGTTCCAACTCAGTTATGTAAACAGGTAATATTTCAGTTAAATAATGTTTTAAATTCAAGAATGTGTCATAATTTTAATGAGGAAAACTTGTATTTTGATGTGTTGAATACTAAATCTCTTGTTAGCTAAGCAATAATATACATACCTTGGGAAGGCATCAAAGAACCAAGTTCTTTTGGTGTTGGGGAAGGCGACACGCATGCCCGACATGAGCGGCGAGTGCAGCACCACGGCGCCCACCTCGTAGCGAGCAGCCAGGTCTACTGTGGGTACGGTCCCAATGCTCTGCCCATATAGAATTATATTTTCTGGGCTGATGCCATAACGCGTCCGCAATGCCTGCCAAGCAGCGTCTATATCGGCATAAAGATTCTTCTCTGAAGGCTTCCCACCACTGACACCATACCCAGAATAATCATAACTGAATATATTACAGTTTATTCTAGTACCTAAACCTAAATAAAAACTACTCATTTGTCCGAGATCCACAGCATTTCCGTGCGAGAATAATATGGTAAAACGCGCGTTAGGACTGCAACGAACAAAGAGACAAGCTATTCTGTTCCCCCTTGATGTTCTCGAGTAGAAACCCTCGATGTTTTCTTTTTCTCTCTCCGAGTACTGCCATTCTGCACGTTCTGTTAGAGTCAGTGAAAACTTCGATCCAGTTTCATCGGGCGTGAATGCATACGTGGGTTCTGGAGGCAGGAACGCAAGCTTAGCAGCAATTTTCCCCGGGCATGGCGGACAACAAAACAGGCAACAAAGTTCACTAAAACTTAACCCGTTCATGGTGATAATGTATAAATATTCATGTGAAACTATTGAACACTACACATTACAAAACCACAACTCACAAATAACTGGTCATGGCAAAAAATAAAAGAATTTCACAAAGTTGACAGTTCGTTCGTCAAGTCAACATTTCAATCAGCCATGACCACAGATATNGGATGTAATGTTTTTTTTTATAGTGTTGTGCACTGTAGAACGGTTTTTATCGGTTTCAGAAAATGGCCACTCTTAGAGTTTCAGCAAAGTTTTGTGAGGTAAAAATATGTGGCCATAACCATATAAAGTTCGAACTGGGTTTTTTTAGGTGAGGGTTTAGGCAGGCGCGTCTCCGTCAATCGCCTATGCCATGCCGGCCGAGATAATTATTTACCTAAAGCGCGTGACAACTCGGAGTTGCATGTGATGTTTAATTTTCCGGTGAATAAAAATTCCCGATTCTTATACAGGGTGTTAGGTAAATGGGTGTGGTGATGTCAGAAAATTGATATCTTCATTTTAATTATTTTATTTTTCATACAAATCGGATTTATTTTGTATGAAAATTTAAAAAAATAAAATGATGATATCAAATTTCTGACTTCACCATAATACCATTTATATGCCCATGGGTTAGTGTCGGCTCATATACCCATTTACCTAACATGCTGTAGATCTAATTCATAACAGTGTAAAAACCAAAGCTTTAGTTAATTGATAATTCTCTAAAATATGATCAGATCTGGAGACTGGAGACATAAAAAAGAACTCAGTACATAATATATTATTTTATTTAAAAAACGTGTATAAAAAGAATAGGTATGTAAGCGGAGAGATCATTTAGGTACAATTAAATAACATGAAAATTACGGACGATATTAATAATTTTTTAACTGAATGAAGATAATTATGTTAAAAATAACTTGATGACTATTTATGCATCAGTAGTTAGTGAGTGGTACCGGGTTTGATTCCGTACATATTCGCTCGTTCGCACTTTTTCAGCCCATGCTCTCTTCTTTCTGTAAATATGCGCGTTAAAAAGCAAGTACCTAGGATTAAGATAAATATACAAACATTCTTTGAGAATAGACGAATAATAATAATAAATTATTCTTTACTCAATAGTTATTTTAGAAATTCGTTAGTAAAAGTAAATTGTTTTGTTAAGTTCACTTAAACTACAAAAGTATTAATTTACAACCTTAGATTAAATCTAAGTTTACAACACATTAGATACGTGTCTTTTACCTGTTTTGAGAATTAGATAAAGAGGGCTCGTGAATTTTTTATATAGATCAATTCCAATCTGCTACTACAGCTGATACGATTGACTGATTACCGTCAATTATTTACGCCTTGAGATATCTCATAATTTAAACTATTGTTTGTATAAAATAATAATAATGAAAAATCTTTGACAACTCAAAATGTACATTATTAAGCTTTTTGAAAAGCTGCATTTAAGTAGTTACGATTCTTCCTTAGAATTAATCAGAGTATCTTTCGTTTGGGATCCAAAATTCGAGAGCAGAATCACAGGTCCCAATCACCATTACACCATTTAGGTACCGCATCTGAAAAGTTTGTTAAATTAATAAGTTAATCAATTTCATAACATGGAATGGAACACAAACAGAATTGATATAGTTGAATAATTTCGATAATAATGTTACCTGTGTAACGTCGAAAGTGCTTGTTTTCACAGTAGCATATTCCTGTGGTGGATAACAATTATAGAAACATTTTATTTCACCTCTGTCTGAGGAAGCAATTAAATTTCCTGAACTTTGGTAACAACTTGTTATCTTGCTGGAGGGTTTAATAATGGGTGGCTCAGGCCATATTTCATGTGATTTAACATAAACATGGTCCTCTGGATGCAATAAATGCAATGTGCCTTTAGAATCACCCACATATAAAGCAGTTGGGGACCAGCTAACACAAACTGGGTATCCTTTATCTGTTGGTATTTTAACATCACTAGCAATAAGTTTTCCAGCCACTTTATCCCAAACAGCTAATGTTTTGTCCTCGCTCACAGATGCCACCATATTCTTGTAGCTGTGTAGAGACAATACAGGACCCTTGTGCGGTTTGTAAGCATTTATCGGTTGCGGGCCCGTACGTAAGTCAAATGAGAGTATTTTCTTAGAATACAAACCAGCCATTACAACATTTTCAGTAGATACAACTGATAACGCTGACATGCCACACCTGCAATTATAATTATGATAATAGCAATGATCCAGCTTGTACATATGTATTGTTGTCTCAATTTGATAAATAAGCAAATCATTCTTCTCTTCAAATCATTTCTTAATTGTTATGAAAACTGTTTCGTGATTATGGTGGACAATATGGAAGTTTGGTACTTACTTGAAAGTTAGAATGCATTCAAGTCCAGCTTCTAAATCCCAAGCTTTCACAGTATTGTCCCATGACGCTGAGTAGATTTTGGTTGCAGAGTCAATATTATCTGGAGCAAGGTCCCACACCCAGCCTGCGTGGGCATCGTGCCTTATATGCTTTGGTTTGGCATCAGACAAGGTTGTTGTATTATCACTACTATCATGAGGAGTGATGTCTAAAACATTCCATAATGCCATTCCTCTATCTCTGCCTCCAGATACACAATATTCACCTTTCTGAAATTCAAGGAATGTCATGTACCAAATTGTGGCTTAAAAATAAAAAAGACTCAAGAGAAATTCAAGTTACAAAAAATACTTACATTAACCAATAGAACTGTATCAACAGAAGCAAAATGGACGTCTTTCACTACAATATGTCTCATACATTCTTTGACATTGCTCCATTTTCTTCTCTCTACATCCATGTCAATGCAGACGTCTTCCCAATTCAACTGGTCATTATCTAACACTTTCAGATCAAGTAAAGCTGGAAAGCAACCTTTAATTTTACTATGAACCCAATGTTTCCATAGATGATCATCTGCTAATATGTCTGCAAATCGCCTGCATACTTTGCTTAGAGTATTCCTGAGAAAATAGGGATCCAAATATGAACATATATTTAAAATAATCTGAAAAAAAAGTACATTTTTTAAAATAAAATTATCAAAAAATTACTTATAATTTATATGTAATTAACATGTTTTTTTTTTAATAATTACAAATTGTAATAGTATTATTACCTCAACTGGCATGTTTTCAAAACATGCCTCCTCAAAATCCTCTTTGATTACTTCCACATTGGCTTCCAAGTTTAGTATTTGTTCTTTCACAGATTGTAGCATGTCACACATATTGAAGTATATGGTTTGGCCTGTGATAAGTGAGAATGTAGCTTAGCAAAAAGATAGCATAAAATGTTAAAAGTTTTGATCATAAAATACTATTATTAATATTACTGGAAAAGTTATATTTTGCATAAGTAGCACTCAGGTGTAAGTAGATATCTAATAAAGGTATTCGTGCATACATTCATGACAATACACTTTTGAAGTGAATGGCCTTTTAAGGTAGTGGTAGGAGGGCACATGAAGTAAATTTAGAATTTAAGTACTACTTAAATAGTGGTATTACATAAAAAATATATTTTATAAATTAAAGCTTTATTGTGAACCATTTACTGTCTGTAGATTAGGACAGAATAAGAAAAGAAATAATTTTGTAACTTAAAAAAATGAACCAGTTTAAAGTCATACTTGTACACAAATTTTGCAGTCCAGGATTAAAATTTTGTTTCTAAAATCAGTAGAATTAGATATAAAGTTAATATTATATTACTAGATTAATTAGAGCTTCCAGTTTTAATTAAAATAATCATTTGAACAAAAACAAAGTTTTAATTTTTTTATGTCGTAATGTGTCAGTGTCAAGCAAATAGTTTTTTTTTATAAGTTTCACGCCTTATGACAGAGCCTTTTTGGCTAAGCAAAAATACCGGTTTTTACATCCCTTATATCATACAGCCAATCTTTTTATTCAGTCACGGCCGAATACTGAAACACTACTCAAATCTGTCACTCAGCTGACGGGCTCCTAAATTTAAGTATCCTTCATAGGCCAGTAGAATNGTGCCCGGTTTTTCTGTGAATCGACTGCTGCTGGCTGATTGTTTTGATTGATAAATGGTCCAACAATTTGTGTTTTAAGTAAGCAGTAACCTCAGAATATAAGGTGTTGGCGAATGAGACATAAACTGTAAGTACGACGTACTCCCTATATAAATAGTCTTGTCTCTAAAGCATTGTAAAATGGATTTAGCATTACCTGGGTCTTCTTCAATGGATATGGAAATCGATATCAATCCTGAGAAAGATTTAACTAGCAAATTTCTAAATGGTGAAATGTCGTTTGCCGAATATTCAAGCGAGTGGTATGATGTTGAGGATGAAGAGGATATTGATGATACAAGTAAACCAAGCGACGAGGATCGTTTATCGCCTTCTGCCCATTTTATGGAAAAGGGCACACTTCGGCGTCGTAAGTGCACACGACTATCACCAGCTCTGATGGGTTTGATGGGTGAAGCCAATTTAAGATTTGTAAGAGGTGACAAAGAAATGGCAGAGAAAATGTGTCATGAAATTATTAAACAAGTGCCTACGGCTCCAGAACCATATCAAACACTTGCACAAATATATGAGCATGATGCTGAAAAATCACTTCAGTTTTCATTGTTAGCTGCACATCTCCGTCCATCAGATGCTAATGAGTGGTTGAGACTGGCAAACATTTCCAATCAAAAAAATGACACCAGGCAAGAAATGCTGTGCTACACTCAAGCAGTCAGAGCTGATCCTCATAATTTAGACATTCATTTGAAAAGGCTTGAAGTTTTATCTATTTTGGAAGATATGAAGTACCCTGTGCATACCATGAATGTCAGCCGTGTCAAATGCTATCACAAAATAGTGACATCTCTGCCTGCAAGTGAAGGAGAAGTGATCATGAAGTATGCTAAAATGGCTGCAACTTTGTACCACAATAGCAATGAGGTTGAGAGATCTCTTGAAGTTATGGGTGCTGCATACAAAAAATGCTCCTCTCTCTTTACCCACGAAGATTTGAATATACTTTTGGAGCTGCTAATTTTACGAAAACAATATCAAACATGCTTAGATATATTTGTAGCTAATGTTGGTGTGGAGATTGAAGCTGAAATACAAACTGTAAAAAATTCTGATAATGATGCAATTGAAGAACACACAAATTACTTGAACTGTTCTATTCCAGAAAACTTGCATATTGATTTGAAAAGCAAATTACTAGTTTGTTTCATACATTTAGGGTCTATTAATTTAGTTCAAACCCTTTTACAAGATTTTTTATCTAATGATGTGGAAAAGGCTGGTGATTTATACATGGATATAGAGGAAGCTCTATCTTCTGCTGGCTACCATGAGTTAGCTATGAAACTATTGGATCCTTTAGTTAAAAATAATAGTTTCGATCTTGGCGCTGTTTGGCTTAAACATGCTGAATGTCTTCATAACTTAGGAAGAGAGGATGATGCCATTGAATCATATTATAAAGTTCTAAAGCATGTTCCTCAGCATCCAGATGCCCGTCGAAAATTATTTACCATTTTAGAGAAAAAGGGAAAAATTGATGAAGCACTGAATATTTTGCAACAAGATTACAGATACATTGTCAGTGCTAGCTTGCTTTATGAACAATGTTTGGCATTAAAAAAGTATAACCGCTTACTTAAATACTTAGAAGTAGGAGAAGCCTTGCTTTCAAAAACTTTTGTAAAATACAGACATCAAGAAGAATTAAGAATTGCCTTCAAACTTAAAGGAGGCATTGATCATATTCATAATTTTCGCAAAGTACGAGGAGAAAATCCTTTTCATGAAAATGATATTCATTTTGATGAAGATGAAAAATTTAAATTTACTCCACAGGAAGAATGGGAATTTTTTAGGGAGCTACTTACTATTGCACTCAAGAATAAACAGTATTTTACTATGCAAAGATTAACTTTTGGGGCTGTTATGTCAAAAGCTCTCTCAGCATACCGTTCGGAGCTGGAATTCCTGTGTCAACAAGCATGCCTCATAAGTAATGACTATCATAATGCTTTGAGACTAACACGAGAATTTGCACAAAAGTATCCAGGTCCTAGAACTTGGAATTTACTAAGCCTTGTCATGAATTCTACAGACGAAACTTCACAAGTTAAATTTCTTTCCAGATTATTTCAGAAAGAAAATTTCATTGTAAAAAATCTATTTTTGGGCAATAATTTTCTGACTTCTGGCAGGTATCTTGTTGCATTGAAATATTTTCTAGAATATAATGAGCAGTGCCGAGACTCAATATCAGCATTATTAGTTGGCATTACAAGTCTACTTATGGCAGCTCAAAAAACTGTGGACAAGCATCACAACCTTATTCTCCAAGGAATTCATTATATTCTAACATATCGTAATCTTAGGAAATGTGATCAAGAAAGCTATTACAATCTTGGAAGAGCATATCAAATGCTGAGTATCAATAATTTAGCTATAACATACTATGAAAAAGCATTAAAGAGTAGTCCAGTTGCAGTCTGTAATCAACATGGTGTTATGAACTTAACTAGAGAGACAGCATTCAATTTGTATCTGTTATATAAAGGTCACTCTCCACAGATGGCTAATAAGTATCTTACTGAATATCTTGTGATTTAGGATAGGGAATAAATAGAGTGTGTTATAAATTTTGTTTTATTTTTAATATTAGTGATTCCCACTTGAGAATCGAACCCAAGACCGCCGCCGGGCTAATTAAATTTGCTAACCATGATTATAAAATAGAATAGAATAATTGTTTCTTTGCATAAAACATGGTATAAGTAGGTAGATCTTAATAAGTCAAATGAAATCACATTCTTAATTATTTGTTTTAGGAATACTATCCAAAATGGAATCTAGTGAAACCATTCCTGCAAATTCCGTTACATTTGAAGAGTTATGTGCTATTCTTGATCAAATTGATACTATCAAGAAAAACCAAAAAAATTATACCAGCAAGACAGGTGTAAGGAATGAGCAATTTAAAACTTTGGAAATTTTCTTCAATAACTTTAAATGTAAAGTAGCAGCATCAGAAGACAATAAGGTGAGTACTGCTGAATACAACTGATTTTACATTTCTATTAGAAAAAGGGATTGCGGTGTTTAGGAAATTACAGACAATGATGTGTCACCAGTTATTTGAATCTTCGAGTAGGTAGGTATTCAGTAAAGTCGTAATGTGCACTATTTATTTTTAAGTTTCATAAGTCCCCGCCCTTATCCGGCGGGAAGAGGTGGTTTGAAAGTACCATTTTTCCGTTTGAAAATATGCGTCCTAGTGACATGACTACTATGAACCAAAAAAAGCTTATTAAATTTGCTACAGGTGAAATAGTCAAGTTTTTCTATATCTTGTATAGTTTTCTAGGCAACTGCTTTAGAAGGTCTGTAATATTGGAAATTTTAATCATCATGAGAAAATCGACTAAATCAACACTGAGCAAACATTTTAGACATGCGGGAGTGTGATAAGCAGAGTTCCAGCGCGGGGACTGCACCGTGACGCATATTTAGACGAACCACTTGGAGCCACTTTTGACCCCTCATCACTCAAAAACTACTGTGCATTAACACTTCACAATTATTAGGGGGTCACTTTAAAATTAGGGATTGATTGTGAAAACGGGCACTAATAGTTAAAGTCGTAACTTTCAAGTAGAAAATAACCGAAAAACTAAATTACCCGTGATAATACCAGTAAATCTAAGAAGTAGGACCACAGGAAACGCAAAATGGTGTTGGTAACCACCATGTTCAATACTGGAGTAGTATAAGACCTTTTGGGGCAGAAAAGTTCTCGAGTGGCAACAGGGCCGGATTAACCATCTCGGGGCCCCTAGGCGCAGCTGGTTTCGGGCCCCCCTTTTTTTTGTCGCGGAGGAAATGCTTTGCTCACTGTCACCACTGCTGGGGGACAGGGTGGTGTGTGGGACTCCCGGCGCCCTAAAAAGGGCGCTGCTCCGTCCTGAAAAGGACGGGGTATGCCCACTAAAACCTCCGTGGCGTTCCGTCATCGCCCAAGTGGGGGTGTCGCGAGTATCCAGCCGTAGCTTCCCAGCGACAGCTCGCCTACACGGCGAAACCTACACGCCCCCCCTTGTGGGGGTCCGACGGGAATGGTCCGAAACGCCAAGCCGTTCCGTCAGACGGAGGTGACAAGGGTGCCCCCGCACCCCCGGCCTGCTGGCCGCCACCTGGGGGCAGAGTAGAACGGTCGTACAACCTCCTTCTCCACCCACTTCTCCGCCTGCGGAGCGATGAGGCGAGAGGATCGTTCTCCCGCTCGCGCTCCGCTGCCTCTTCTGAAGGATGACCTCCTCGCAAAAGGAGGCGACCGCCTTCCAGCATGGCGTTGACCAGGCTAGGAAGCGAAAGATCCCGGCCCACGACCGCAGTGAGGACCGCAGTGAATCCCCGCTGCTCCTCCCGACCTGTGCAGACCGCGAGGGTGTGCAGCACCGTGTCATCCACCGCGCCGCATTTGTGGCACAGCGGGGATTCCTCTCGCCCGATTATATGCAGGTACGAACTGAAGCAGCCATGCCCGGTCAGCACCTGCGCCAGACGGAACGTGAGGAACCCGTGCGGTCGTTCCAACCATTAGTCCAGAAAGGACCAATGGCGTCTAGAGTGCGGCGGCCAAACTGCGCGAGAGTCATGTCTTCCTTCCAGCGGTCGATCATGATCTGCCTGACGGCGCCGCGCCGCTCCGGGGCCGGGCCGCTTTCCACGCGCCTTCTGGTCTGCCATCCAGTGATAGATGACAGATAAGACCCCAGCTTCTAGCTCCCAAGGAGGAGTACCAGCGAGGACGCACGCCGCAGCGTGCCCTACCGTGCGGTAGGCAAGCGGTAGGTAGGTCCTTGCGACCCTCTGCGCTATGGCCCGCTGGGGTCTGCGGGAGAAGCCAACTTAGTGCGCCGGCTGCCTTGAGGAGACGTGGCGCTAGCCCGTTGAAGTGCCGGCTAAAATGCCACCTTCCGTCAAGCGTGAGGCCCAGATATTTCATCTGGCCTTTGACGTCAATCCTAACGTCCTCAACCACAATGTGAGCGTCGGGAGGGGCGCGCTGGCGAGGCCCCGGAAAGAAGAGGGCCTCGCAGTCTTCTCCATCGCGACTTTCATTTCTATTCTGCGAGCGACTAATGTCGCACACATCCACGATAGCCGAACGGTGAAGGGGTCGGACTGGCCGACTCGTGATCCGGGGAACGCGGGTTCGGTCCCCGCCGCCGCTCGACTATTGTGGTGAGCTCACTCGTGACACAAGCATATTTAGCTTAGTACGAGGGGCTAACGGGAGTATTAGTAATTTGTGTAATAACAAATTACTAATATACTTAAAAAAAAAAAATGTGCCGCCCGCCGACGCCAGCCGTGCCGCGGCCCCCTAATGTCTTCCCCGGGCAGTGACCAGAGTGTTATCCGCATATGACACTCATGCCCGCGCGAAGGACGCCCCGGTGGAGCCAGTTGAAGCCTAGGTTCCTCAAGAGTGGACCGAGCACCGAACCCTGCGAAACCCCGCTGGCTACGCCGCGCCGTTTGAGCTGGCCGTCTCTGTTAACATACAGGACTTTGCGGTCCCGTGAGTAATCGGCCAGCAGCGCTCGAAGGTACTGAGGCACTCTGTGATGTTGAAGTGCCTAGAGTATAGTGGAATGAGGGATGGTATTGAAAGCGTTGGCTATATCTAATGATACAGCCAACACACCCTCACCCCTCTCCCTAGCCTCTGCAGTGAGGCTTTTTAGCCTCTGAAGGGCGTCGACCGTCGACCTGTCATATAAACCAAAGCAGTAATGCCAACGCGACGTTACGAAAATGAATTAGGTTCCACAATATCGAAATATGACGATTGAATGTGTAAACCAAAATAAGGCGAAGTTTTGAGGTGGTTTGAGTTTTGTTGCATAAAAATAATCTTTAATAATTTTTTAAATTTTTTAATTGGGAGTGCTGGGCCCCTGGTCATAGTGGGCCCCTAGGCACTGGCCTAAAGTGCCTTATGGATAATACGGCACTGAGTGGCAACCACGGGCTGGAAGACGTAGCGTGGGCAGGCAGGATCTGGTAAAGGTCGCGGGAAGAGCCTGGATGCGGGCAGCGCAGGACCGTGCATTGTGGAAAACCTTGGAGGAGGCCTTTGTCCAGCAGTGGACTTCATTTGGCTGAAACGAACGAACGAACGATAAGACCTTTAATATTAGGTACGAACAAAAATAAATCGCGCAACTGTCGCGAACTAAAGCAAACGATTTGGTGCCGACGCGTCGAGTGCACTTCATATTATCTTCTCTGGCGCTGAACGCATCATCGCAAGATATTTTGTGCATGAAATATTGTTTGTAGTAGGGGTATTTATGTAAGGATGAGCTTTTCTTCCTGAACATGATGAGCGAGTAAGGCGCGTCATAGCAAGATCGCTTTTATGTCTAATTGTTATGAATAATTTTTAACGCAAATAAACTACACTTAAGTACTTACGCCTCGTATTAAAATTAAAGTAAGTAAGTACTACCTATATTTTTTCAGAATACAAATTTGTATCCGATTTTGAGGTTGTTATTGCCTAAATATGAAAGAGAAAGAAGTCCATATAATATGAAAGAGACTAAACTTGCCCAATTACTCGTCAGAGTGTTGTCTCTAAGCAAGCAGTCGCCAGCCGCTAAAAGATTAATTAACTTTAGATCAGTAAGTAATACTCAGGATAGCGATTTTGCTGGTGTGGCATATTACGCTCTAAAAGGAATTCTTGGTAAAAACAAAGGCGATCTTACTGTGGAGGATATCAACACAATACTGGATAAAATTGCCACAGCTGAAGTTGGAAACAAAGCACGTGAGTAGAAAATAATTATTCTGTGGTGCTTAAACTATATTGTATATAAGTAGATAGAGTAGGTACTTTAGGTAGGTAAGTATACCTACTGGATAATGTACTTACCTAATCGAATCTGGGTAAGTATCAAAATAAATGGTTTTATTTACAGGGGTTCTAAATGAAGCATTTGGATATGCTATTAGACATTTAACACCTGAACAGTTAAAATGGTTTTTGAGACTTATCCTCAAGGATTTGAAACTTGGTATTGAAACGAAACGTATTTTGGCTGCCTTTCACCCGGATGCTCCTGAATATTTTGAGACTTGCAATAGCATTTCTAAGGTAATAATGTTATATTTTAATATTTTGTGAAATCATTGTGTAAAACCTGTAAAATGTTAGTTTTCTTGCTTACAAAAATTGCGAATATCATCCAGCCTATCGATTTGAATAAACTTAGACCCTGTCACAAGTTTGTCGGCATGCCCATCGTGGATCCGCGCCTTATTTAATCTAGCATTATTTTATTACTTACATAGGTACATAAAAGTAAATACCGTGAATATTTTCTAGGTGTGCGAAGAATTAGAAGATGGAGACATACGTCCTTTAGAAATGGGTGTTAAAATGTTTTATGCGATTAGTCCTATGCTCTCCGAAAGATTGGACGTCACGGAGATCCATCGACAACTCTTTTTTGATGGCACAACTTATATTGTGGAAAATAAGTTTGACGGGGAAAGATTTCAGGTACTTACCTACTTTGTTCGTTCTTCTGTACCCATGGACCTATATTTTTTATAGGTCCATGTCTGTACCAATTTAAATAAATTGTAACCGTTGAATAATTTTAACTAATTTGTTCATTACATTTAGATTCATATGGAAAACGGGATATTTGAGTATTTTTCAAGAAAAGGCCACAAGTATTCTGATAACTACGGTAAGACATACGAGTCTGGCCTACTGACACCATTCCTCAAGGACTGTTTTAACCCGGAGGTGGAGAGTTTCATTATTGATGGGGAGATGATGGGATGGCACAAAGCGAATCATTATTATAGTTCTAAGGGTGCGTCAAGTCTAAAAACATTTATCTATGTTCTTTTGCTGTAATTTGAATAGTTATTAAACAACCTTCCGTTTTTTCAGGTATATCATTTGATGTCAAAAAGATAACAGTCAGATCAGTGTTCCGGCCTTGTTTTTGTGCATTTGACGTCTTATATTACAATGGCAAAGCGTTAGTGGGATCCGCAGAAAGAGGAGGAGTACCACTCAAGGAAAGACTGGAGATCCTAGACTCCATGTTCACCGATGTGACGGGAGTTATCCAGCACAGCCGGAGAGAAACTGTCAAAGATAGGTAGGTGTTGTTCAGTAGGTACATAAGTATAAAAAATATGGAACCATGGCCCAAGCCATGACAGAAGTAATTTTATTTTACATACTTATGGGTTTTTGATCTGCATCTGTCTGTATAGGTTAACAAACGTATTATCTTTGCAGCACCGATGTATTGAACAAGCTAAATGAAGCTATAGAGAATCAAGATGAAGGGATCGTGGTGAAAGATGTGGAATCATACTACCTGCCTAGTCGACGAAACGCTGGGTGGTACAAAGTGAAACCGGAGGTGTTTATACATGCATTAAAACTACGTAATATTTTGTAATTTACAAATATTATCACCATTTTTATGGAATCTCCTTTTTAGTATACTGAAGGAACTATGGACGATCTCGACCTCGTAATAATTGGAGCTGACGAAGCTGAAAATAAGAAACAAGGTCGAGCCAAGAGCTTCCATGTTGCTTGCCTCGACGTCACAGGAGGAGGTAAGATTTCTTGTTTTTTTTTTGTTACAAATCTTGTTTCATATTTACGAGGGGATCAGTTGTTATCAGGCGACGCCAAATACTGGGTGTCGGTGGGCCGCGTGGCCACCGGGCTGTCTTTTTAAAATGTTATTTTATATGAAAGATTCGATTTCAATACCAAACCAGCTAAGTACAAGTTAGATTCGATCATGAAGTGTTAACCATCGCATTAGATTGTAGAAGTCGGAATCACAAAAACTAAAAATGGATAATTTATCTTTTGAATTTGTAAGAAGGATGTATTTGTAAATATCTTGTCTCGGGCGTCGCATATAATCCTAGTAGGGGCGTAGTGTGAGTTTACGTTAAACGCATTCGATGTCGACTGCGTAAAAAAGTGACATTAAATATATGAGACGGATTGTACAGCGCCCCTAGCGGAAACTTTCAAGAACTAAAATCTTAACGCGCTCGCTAGTGACGACGTTTGATGTAAACTCACACTAAGCCCACTGGTATTATTACGTAGCCGATGCCCCGCGCTAGGTGTCAGTGGGCCGCGTGGCCACCGGGCTGTCGTTCGACGAGCGCGAGCGGCTGTGCGTGGCGCTGGAGCGGCGCTGGGTGCCCGTGCCCGCTAAGGACAAATGAATTATCTTTGAACTTGTAAACGATGTCATTGACACTAAATGTCTGCTTGTCTCGGGCGTGGTATATAATCCTGGTATTGCTCCTTAGCCGATGCCCCGCGCTGGGTGTCGGTGGGCCGCGCGGCCACCGGGCTATCGTTCGACGAGCGCGAGCGGCTGTGCGTGGCGCTGGAGCGGCGCTGGGTGGGTGCCCGTGCCCGCTAAGGACAAATGAATTATTCATCTTTGAACTTGTAAACGATGTCATTGATAGTAAATGTCTGCTTGTCTCGGGCGTGGCATATAATCCAGTGCACCGATTGCGCTAATTTTTAACGTCTCCAATACATTGGCGCTTCTTCACCAGTTGCGCTTCGTTTTTAATTCCAGCTAAAGTGCAAAGGACANAAAGACGAAACAACGGATTTAATCACCTTACAATAAAAGTCCGAACACCTTATTTTTTCACAAAAAAACAGCAAAATTAAATGTCGTGAAGGCGTTTGTCTTGAGTTTGAGAAAAAGTAGCTTTCTTTCAGCTTTTACACAAAGAAGCAGTTGCGTTTTGTTTTCGTTTAAACTAGCTGTCAAAGCGACACCGCGATACAAATTTGTGATTTTCGTTCGTCGTCTAGTCGCGTTGTAGGTAGTTGAAAATATTTAGCGCTGGTATTGTTACGTAGCCGATGCCCCGCGCTGGGTGTCGGTGGGCCGCGTGGCCACCGGGCTGTCGTTCGACGAGCGCGAGCGGCTGTGCGTGGCGCTGGGTGCCCGTACCCGCTAAGGACAAATGAGTTATTTATCTTTGAACTTGTAAAGGATGTCATACATTGTAAATGTCTGCGTAGCATATAATCCTGGTATTGTTACGTAGCCGATGCCCCGCGCTGGGTGTCGGTGGGCCGCGTGGCCACCGGGCTGTCGTTCGACGAGCGCGAGCGGCTGTGCGTGGCGCTGGAGCGGCGATGAGTGCCCGTGCCCGCTAAGGACAAATGAATTATCTTTGAACTTGTAAACGATGTCATTGACACTAAATGTCTGCTTGTCTCGGGCGTGGTATATAATCCTGGTATTGTTCCTTAGCCGATGCCCCGCGCTGGGTGTCGGTGGGCCGCGTGGCCACCGGGCTGTCGTTCGACGAGCGCGAGCGGCTGTGCGTGGCGCTGGAGCGGCGCTGGGTGCCGGCCGCCGACGCGCCGCCGCCGCCCGAGCTCGACTTCAACAAGGAGAAGCCAGACTTCTGGGTGATGCCGGAACATTCCACAGTATTACAGGTAGGTATAGTTCTTTTATCGTGAAAGTTGTGGTATTATGTGTAGATGTACCCACGTACTGTCAGCGTCAAAATTAGTCCATGCGTGACACCCGAAGTAGCCAAAAAGTTCGCAACACGTCTTTGTTACAATTAGAATAAGATTGTAGATAATGGATAACTTAGCGTCAATTATATTATCAAAAAATATTGGACACGTATTTTTTTATTTATCAATCAAACAAGTAATTACGAAGATATGATGCGTTGAAATTCCGCATGGCGTCACAAAGTGCATCATTTTTAAGTACCTAGATACTCCTTGACGTCACGGACGTCCGTGACGTGACGTAAATTTAAAGAGATAAAGCGCGTCAAAGTTCAGAAGAAGACGTCTTCTTCTGAACTTTGACGCGCTTTATCTCTTTCCATTATTTTGAAAAAGTGAAAAATACGTGTCGAGTATTTTTTTATAAGTTACTTACCTACCTGGGCGGACTAATTCAAACTTATTTCAAATTCTTGCTTTTTTACTCAGAAAACGTCCCTATTTTACATCAATACTGTCATTTACCAGGTTCGCGCCACCGAACTCATCCAAAGCGTGGGCTTCGGCACCGACTACACGCTGCGCTTCCCGCGCGTCGTCAAGATCCGCGACGACAAGCCCGTCCGTGACGTCATGACCCTCGAGGAGTTTAATGCACTCGTCTCGGTATGTTACTTAATACATTACAGTATTTATTATTTCGGTCTGTCACAAAAAGACATTATCGTGCGCGTGTTCCCCTTTCAAAAACCGGGATAAAAACTAGCCTTTGTTTTTTTCTTGGATCTCAAACTGTAATGTACCTACCTTATTAATTATTTCATCTAAATCGGTTAAGTTATTTAGGCATGTAAAGTAAAAAACACCGTCATAAAGTCGCGCGATAGTCTTTCTGGTACAACCGTTTTCACGTAGATGTAGTCGCAGCAAAATTTCTTGACTGTTATCAATTTATACAGAACAAAGGACCAGTTGTGAAGCTGAGCTCAACTCAAGTGCGGAAGGAATCGATGGGCGAAGGGAGAAGCCTCAGAAAGCGCGTCGCTAAAACAGTGAAGGTGGCGGACCAATTCGTTACCACGCCTTCGAGCTCAGTGGAGGTGGTCTCCAAGGCCCTGCTTGGCAGGAAAGTGTGCATCCTGTCGGACGACGACGACTGCAAGAAACTAGAACTGAGGAATATTGTAGAATCGCACGGCGGGACTTTCGTTTCAAATATAGGTAAGTTTTATGAATGCCTGACCACACAATAACGCCCGTATTCACAAACATTACTATAAGGATTCACAGTGCGCGTGCACGCACAGGGTGACACACGAACCAATCACAGAGCTCTATTCAACGTTGTGCGTTCGATTTGCTGCTTCGCTTAAGCAAATATCGTTTGTGAATACGGGCGTAAGCCCATAGTCATCTGAATGATAACTCTATATAAAAAAATAGCGAGTCAATAATGTAATAACAATTCAGTTAAGAAGTCTGCTGTCCCTTTCTATTGCGTAAGTCCCATTTTCCTGCCAAGAGAACTTAGTTGTAGGTATCTAAAGTGACATCCCATCAGGCCTTCGTGGGAGCGAATATCAAATTGATTTTTTAATTTTTGACCACCTAGGTCCAGACACCTGGTGCGCAGTGGTCGGTCGGATCACAAGAAGGGAGAACGAGATAATCAAATCCCAAGAAGTGGACGTAACCACCACGGCCTGGCTGCGGTCTCTACCGCGCTCGGAGTCGCCGTGCATTCTGCCACCGCTTGAAACGCTCGCCATGAAAAAGGCGACCAGACTTGCTATGAGCAATGATTACGATTGCTTCGGCGACAGCTACACCGAGCCGATAGATGAGGCTACTTTGCGGAAATGCTTTGAGAAGATGGATAGAAATGTGAGTTTTGTATTTGTGAATAATTGTGATTAGTCTTTCTGGGAGCTCAGATCACATACACTAGCAGGGGTTCTCAAATCCCAAAGTGGGAGGCGCTAGGACCTTGAAAGGGGGGCGCGGGCCATCTGTGTAGTTAAGTATTAAAAAACCTGCGACGGCGGCTGAGAGAATACATTTCAGACTGCTCGTCACGATTAATAAATACTCTGGACTGGAGGATGGGGGGCGCGGATATTTTTATGGTCGAAAGGGGGCACGTCTCAAAAAAGTTAGGGAACCCCCCCTGCACTAGTATGTCGTCACAAGTGGTCGACGATGAAGCGAAATTCACTACAGACGTGCTTCAGTCCTCCAACTCTAGAATTCCATAATTTCCCTTTCAGTCCAACTGAACAGGTCTGTACTAGGTAGCTACAATAAAACCGTGGACTGTATGTACTATATCATTCTATTTCGCTTTGAAACTAGTTCTACTACATTGTTCTACTTTGATAGACCTAGACAGACACATAATTTTGGGCTCCTCTTGACCCAAGGAAATGGAAAAAATCAAATTGAACCGCGTGTTAATCGACCCTCAGTGCCATCTAGTATCACTTTGTAACAACTAAAACCCATCATAAACAACAGTACTATCTTTTGATACTAGATGTCACTTTATACACATATGTGACTTCAACATGCCGCCCACCAAGGACAGAATGTCCTTAACTATTACCCATACATGTCTAGTATAAAACCTCTCGTATAAAAACCCTCACCTCGCGTATAAAAACCCATGTTTAAGAACCCCTCGTGTAATAAACCCTTCACATATTAAAACCACTCGTTTAACTAAACCTTAAAATTAATAAATGAAGTAAACATAACCTTCAGTAACAGTTAATTGCTCATTAACCTATAAAACAAATTTTAAAACTTCACATTTTACATTTACAAAATACAAGTCACCCATCAGTTCAGGGATTGTCCTAGAGAATCTTGCCAAACAACCACGTACTTGGAGACAAGTNTACCAACCCGCACTCGTTCCTGCGCGCCTGCTCGCTGCACGTGGCGTGCCGCAGCGGCGCGCGCGCCTCCCAGGCCGCCATGCGTGGCGCCGCGCGCGCCGACGTGCTATCGCCCGCGCTCACGCACGTTGTATTGCCGGCTGACGCGCCGCGTGCTGAGGTGGCGAGACTAAAACGCAAGCTCACTGCCACGATTGTGTCTGAGAACTGGCTGGAAGCCTGCTTCGCGGCTAAGGCGCTTGTGCCTGAGGATGAGTTTGTACTGTAATTCGATAATCTTTTATACATATTTATATTAATTTATTCCAAAAATATTTTGATTAAGCGTAGGTATATCCATAGTTTTATATTAGTCGAGAAACTAATAAAGACGCGTGTTCGCGGTTGTGCTGACGACGCACCGCGCGCGAAAGACTCCGACGCACACTCACAGCCTTCATTGTATCCGAAAACTGGCTCGAGTATTTCGCGGCTAAACTTAAGCCGCTAAAGGTTCGGCCAAACCAAAGCGTGCAGCCTGTATACGAATATGTCAGACGTCGTGTATGAATTTGTAGCGATGAGTTCACATCAACGCGTCCTGTCATCGCGACGATCTATGCATGCGCAGTGATCGCCATCGCCATCGCCGACGCGAGCTGCACGCGTTGGTTTGGCCGAAGCTTAAGCCGTTTGTGTCCGAGAAGGAATTTGTACTGTAATTCGATAAACTTTTGATTAATTAAGCGTGTTAACTACTTCGATAGCGAATATGAGTTTCCCAGTGTCGTCCAGGCACAACACAATCAACAAAACACAGCAACAATCGAACAGGTACCTTGTCTGCCGCCGCGCTGCTGGTAGGTACTCTGTAGGACGCCGCCGGCCGGTAGTTAGGGCTTCGCCCGGTGTCTTCGGTGGTTCACTTGAGTCACTAACTTCAAGNAGAATTCCATAATTTCCCTTTCAGTCCAACTGAACAGGTCTGTACTAGGTAGCTACAATAAAACCGTGGACTGTATGTACTATATCATTCTATTTCGCTTTGAAACTAGTTCTACTACATTGTTCTACTTTGATAGACCTAGACAGACACATAATTTTGGGCTCCTCTTGACCCAAGGAAATGGAAAAAATCAAATTGAACCGCGTGTTAATCGACCCTCAGTGCCATCTAGTATCACTTTGTAACAACTAAAACCCATCATAAACAACAGTACTATCTTTTGATACTAGATGTCACTTTATACACATATGTGACTTCAACATGCCGCCCACCAAGGACAGAATGTCCTTAACTATTACCCATACATGTCTAGTATAAAACCTCTCGTATAAAAACCCTCACCTCGCGTATAAAAACCCATGTTTAAGAACCCCTCGTGTAATAAACCCTTCACATATTAAAACCACTCGTTTAACTAAACCTTAAAATTAATAAATGAAGTAAACATAACCTTCAGTAACAGTTAATTGCTCATTAACCTATAAAACAAATTTTAAAACTTCACATTTTACATTTACAAAATACAAGTCACCCATCAGTTCAGGGATTGTCCTAGAGAATCTTGCCAAACAACCACGTACTTGGAGACAAGTTATTATCCTACACCAAAATTGTATCCCCGACTGCCGGCTCAGAACTTTTATGAGCCTGTTAATAAACCTTGTATGAAAATTGTAAAATGTCTATAAAATATCAATTGAACTTATTGCCTACCTAAAAACCACGAACTGAACTAGAGAGTGAAGAACTATTTTGTAACATAGATTGATCTACCGTACCTATATGAACATAAAACCCTTTTTCTTTTCGAGTTTAGTGTATGATAGTTTGTTTTCTTAAAAACCCTTGAAAAACTTTCATACACACTACTAACAACTTAGTCATCCAAACAGCTCCACAAAACTTAAAATGCGATATACCTACTCATTTGTCACCGAAGTAACGGAGTTTTGACACTAGCAAACTAGCCCAATGGGAATTTCCCTGATGCAGTGATTACGCGTAAATAAACCCCAGCAGCGTAAGCAACGTTGAAGGCATCTGAAAATCCCTGCAGCCCTGCAAAGCATCATCTGATCGAGGGCATACCACCGTGGATACTTCAGCTAAGTGGTAACTCGTTGAAAGGTAAGTATTCCCATCTTTAGTTAACTCTAGTAAGTTCTTCGTTCTCTCTCACCCTATTCCAGCTATCCACACTGCTTGATAACTTCTTCGCTTAAGCAAGTTGCTATCCATCCTAATGGATTGAATAGATGTGATACCATACAACCGATAGATATAACTTTTCTTTTTTTACAGGTGCGGACAGCAGCGGCAATTCACCGAGTACTGAAATTCATCATTGTTCCTGTTTCAGGTAAGTCTCTTTTATTTTATAGTTGAAATCCCAGTTGTCCTTCTTTGTCCTTTTTGTTCTAATAACCTTAGTAACGCTTCTCGGTTACATAATCATTTGTCCTATAAATCTCTAAACTGTACTATAAATCCCAAATCTGTACCATAAATCCAAAACTTGTACTATAAATCCCTAATTTGTTGCATAAAATCCCTTTTTGTACTTGAAATCCCTAATTTGTTCTATAATTCCTAATTTGTTCTAAAATCCTAATTTGCTCTATTCTTTCTTTCCCAGTTGGACTCCATTTGCGGATGCTCCAAACACCACTTTCGCAGTTGATCTATCTCCCTTAATAACAGCATGTGGTAAGTATACTGCTTGTTCTTCATTGTACTTAGTTTTCTGTGTTAACTTCATGTGTTCTAGTTGAGTATTATCCTCTGTGTATCTTCTGTTCTTTAGCTTGTTTCCGTAATAAATCTTTGTTCTGAATGTTTTCAATCTTCTGACTGATGTTTCTTCTTGGTTACAGGAAGGCACTTCTTCGTGGTATGGTGACTTCACTCCGTATTTTTTCATCTGCACTCCTACGAGAGGTCGCAGTGAAGATTTCTTCACGTCGTTGTTCTTCAGATGTTAACCTTTTTGAAGTAAATAAAGTTTCCATATCCAAAACCCTAGAGCGTTTTGAGTCCAATTCCTCTACAAACGCATGCAACACTGTAACTCTATTTTCATCCGCAGCAGTATTTATCGGTCCAGATATTATCCACCCAAGCGTGGTGCACTGTGCCACTGGCGAACCCGTAGGACCCCGTAGCAAACCATCCCTTAATATCTGACTACATACGTCTGCTCCCAGAAGAATATCAATCTTGTTCGGTACGTTAAATTGCGGATCGGCTAAATAAACCTGCGATAATTCAACCCAATTGTCTAAAGAAACTCTGTGTCCTGGTAAGTATGACGTAATGTCGCTAAGAACATACGCCTCTACCTCTATCTCAAAACTCGGATCTAATCTAGATTTTAGTGTAAGTGAAACCATAGATCTAGATAACACAGAAGGTTTCTCATCACCCAAGCCTGATATGACATTAGTCACATTTATTTTCTTTAGCCCCAAACCTTGGACCGTAGCTTCTGTCACGAACGAAGCTTGAGAGCCTGGATCTACTAAAGCCCTACATACGTGATATTGGCCTGTCCTAGACTTAACGTCAACCAATGCTGTTGCCAATAACACATGACTGCTCTTAGTCTTCGCGTAACATGCCATGTGATTTGCAGTCTCAATTGGCTGCGTATCCTGTTCTAAACCTTTTAGATTGTTGTCCTTACCCGCACCTTCTTCAACTACTTGACCTAAAAACCCTGACCCAGCAGTCGAAGTGGGGGCTTTCCCTGAGTGAAGCAAAGAATGATGCCGTTTTTTACAAACTCTACAATTGGTGGGTGATCGGCAAAACTTGACACCATGGTTGCTTCCTAGACAGTTATAACACATTTTATTTTTTATAACAAANCCAACAGATATGCAATAAGCGATAGCAGAGTAAATACAAATGAGTAGGTCATCTGTATAAAAACGCACCGAGCGCGGTTTGTATCCGAGCGCGCCAATATACTTACGTATGCGGCGCGCACGCACACACTGACAAAATTCGGCGCAACCAAGACTGGCTCCTCTGGCTGTGTGCGTGCGCGCCGCATACGTGTTGGCGCGCTCACATACAAACCGCGCCCATGCGTTTCTATGAAGATGACCTACTCACTTGTATTTACTCTGGCGATAGTAAATAGCCATCAATTGTCCAGGAGCCGCAAATCTACCTGACCAATCGCGAGATGCTGAGCCTGGACCGCGAGTTGTTCGGCGCCAGTAACCCGCACTCGTTCCTGCGCGCCTGCTCGCTGCACGTGGCGTGCCGCAGCGGCGCGCGCGCCTCCCAGGCCGCCATGCGTGGCGCCGCGCGCGCCGACGTGCTATCGCCCGCGCTAACGCACGTTGTATTGCCGGCTGACGCGCCGCGTGCTGAGGTGGCGAGACTAAAACGCAAGCTTACAGCGACGATTGTGTCCGAGAACTGGCTGGAAGCCTGCTTCGCGGCTAAGGCGCTTGTGCCTGAGGATGAGTTTATACTGTAATTCGATAATCTTTCATATTCATTTATTCCATAAATCTTTTAAAGCGTATATCCATAGTTTTATACTAGTCAAGAGGCTAAAAGACTCGTGCTCTCGCCCGCGCTCACGCACGTAGTACTGCCGGCTGACGCGCCGCGTGCTGAGGTGGCGAGACTAAAACGCAAGCTTACAGCCACGATTGTGTCTGAGAACTGGCTGGAGGCCTGCTTCGCTGCAAAGGCACTCGTGCCCGAGGATGAGTTTATACTGTAATTCCATGATCATTCATATTCATTTATTCCAAAAATCTTTTGATCAAGCGCATATCCATAGTTTTATACTAGTAAAGACTCTTGCTTTGACTCAAGAGGCTAAAAGACTCGTGCTCTCGCCCGCGCTCACGCACGTCGTATTACCCGCTGACGCGCCGCGTACTGAGGTGGCGAGACTAAAACGCAAGCTTACAGCGACCATAGTCTCTGAGAACTGGCTGGAAGCCTGCTTCGCTGCAAAAGCACTCGTGCCCGAGGATGAGTTTATACTGTAATTCCATGATCATTCATATTAATTTATTCCAAAAATCTTTTGATTAAGCGTATATCCATAGTTTTATACTAGTCAAGAGGCTAAAAGATTCGTGCTCTCGCCCGCGCTAACGCACGTTGTATTGCCGGCTGACGCGCCGCGAGCTGAGGTAGCGAGACTAAAACGCAAGCTCACAGCGACGATTGTGTCTGAAAACTGGCTGGAAGCCTGCTTCGCGGCTAAGGCGCTTGTGCCTGAAGATGAGTTTGTGCTGTAATTCGATAATATTTTATACATATTTATATTCATTTATTCCAAAAATATTTTGATTAAGCGTATATCCATAGTTTTATACTAGTCAAGAGGCTAAAAGATTCATGCTCTCGTCCGCGCTTACGCACGTCGTGCTGCCGGCTGACGCGCCGCGTGCTGAGGTGGCGAGACTAAAACGCAAGTTTACAGCGACTATTGTATCTGAGAACTGGCTGGAAGCCTGCTTCGCGGCAAAAGCACTCGTACCTGAGGATGAATTTATACTGTAGTTCTATAATAATCTTTCATATTCATATATTCCATAAATCTTTTAAAGCGTATACCTATCCATAGTTTTATACTAGTCAAGATACTAAAAGACCCGTGCTCTCGCCCGCGCTCACGCACGTAGTACTGCCGGCTGACGCGCCGCGTACTGAGGTGGCGAGACTAAAACGCAAGCTTACAGCGACTATTGTATCCGAGAACTGGCTGGAAGCCTGCTTCGCTGCTAAGGCCCTTGTGCCTGAGGATGAATTTATATTGTAGTTCTATAATAATCAGTCATATTCATATATTCCACAAATCTTTTATACTAGTCAAGATACTAAAAGACCCGTGCTCTCGCCCGCGCTCACGCACGTCGTGCTGCCGGCTGACGCGCCGCGTGCTGAGGTGGCGAGACTAAAACGCAAGCTTACTGCCACGATTGTGTCTGAGAACTGGCTGGAGGCCTGCTTCGCGGCTAAGGCGCTTGTGCCTGAAGATGAATTTATATTGTAGTTCTATAATCGTTCTATAAATATTCATTTATTCCAAAAATATTTTGATTAAGCGTATATCCATAGTTTTATACTAGTCAAGAGTAAAAGACTCGTGCTCTCGCCCGCGCTCACGCACGTAGTACTGCCGGCTGATGCACCGCGAGCTGAGGTGGCGAGACTAAAACGCAAGCTCACAGCGACGATTGTGTCTGAGAATTGGCTGGAAGCCTGCTTCGCGGCTAAGGCGCTTGTGCCTGAGGATGAGTTTATACTGTAATTCGATAATCTTCCATATTCATATATTCCATAAATCTTTTAAAGCGTATATCCATAGTTTATACTAATCAAGATACTAAAAGACGCGTGTTCGCGGTTGAGCTCACAATGAGTTTGTGCTGTAATTCGATAATCTTTCATGTTCATTATTCATTTATTCCATAACTCTTTTGATTAAGCATTATATCCATAGTTATAATTATATTATTCGAGAAACTAATAAAGACGCGTGTTCGCGGTTGTGCTGACACAGCCTTCATTGTATCCGAAAACTGGCTCGACTGTTTAGCGGCTAAACTTAAGCTGCTGAACCTTTAGGTTCAGCCAAACCAAAGCGTGCAGCCTATATACGAATATGTCAGACGTCGTGTATGAATTTGTAGCGATGAGTTCACATCAACGCGTCCTGTCATCGCGGCGATCTATGCAAACGCAGTGATCGCCTTCGCCGACGCGAACTGCACGCGTTGGTTTGGCAGAAGCTTAAGCCGCATGTGTCCGAGGAGGAATTTGTACTGTAATTCGATAAACTTATGATTAATTAAGCGTATATCCATAGTTTTATACTAGTCATACTTATTATTCACCCATCTATTGATTAAGTTTATACGAGCTGGCCGGTAAGCGTCGCTCTGAAACTACTTCAATGAAGTAGTTGATCTGTAAGCGTCGACGATCAAACCAGAATGTTTTGTACTTTAAGTTTCAATGTGAGATCTGACCAGTATTACTATTGTAATTATAACCGATTTCGCGAACATCCCACGAGACTTAGTGGCCCGCGTGCAATCTCAGTATCCCTCGTCTGCAAAGACTGGTTCTTAACCTGTTCCACATCTTGTAACCTGACTTCTTTGTAGTTGAGTGTACGATTCCATTATTATTACCTACTCTTTTGGCAACAGTTTGTATCTTATATCGTGTATCTTGTATCGTAAGTACTTTTTGATAACTTACCTAACATTCCTACAATCTACATAGTTATAACACTTATAACATTACTGTAACAGTTTACTTTTCAATGTACCATCATGTATCGTATTTATCAAAAGTATTCAAATAAAAAATAATGAAAAATATATCGCTTTTTAATTTTTCATAGACCTCGATTAAGTTAAGTTGTTACATAAGCATGAAATTTTTTTTTCAACAGTTATAGTCGTATTCAGAAGTTAAACTACGAGACCAGAATAGATATTTTTTTCAATCTAGTAAGTAATTGACGTAATTATTGTTGTGTATGGTTTGTTAACGTTTCATATTGCACAAACAATGGCACTCACGCGCAAAATGAATCAAAACCATGCGTGACATGAGCGCTCGTGTTGATGAGAGCCGCGTGAAACCCGACCCCCTCCAGAGCCGCCCAAAGCACGCCTTATGCCCGTTGCAAGTACAATCACATCCAGAACAACCATACTTCTTGTATGAGAAGTTAATACGTTCTTGCTTTAATTAAACTGTACGTAGTCGGAACGGGGTAATGGTCTTTGCGATTTGAATCATAAGCGGTTATTGTGCGATAAAGCACTCTGTCTGAAGATAGACAATAAGGTGCTACACAACATATTTCATTCGTTATTATTGAAATTAAATATTTCATGTTTGACAGAAAAAAAAGAAAAGACGCATATTTTGAAGCGTAGCCAAGTCTGTCGCTCTGTAGACAAGGGTTGGCTAAAATTGTGTGAAGCTTCTAGGAAATTCAAAATACTTACATGAAAGAGAGGTATTATTTGCAAGGCAAAATAATTATACTTTCTGACTAGCAAATACGATGTAACAAATAATATGAAATATGAACAAAATCCGAGAGGGCTGGGCAGTGGCGAGTGAAACCTAAGACTTAATTGGCAATCGCCCACCGAGATTGGATATCGCTTACCTGTTGATTGATTTGATACTAATATTGCCCTAACTCACGATAAGTTGTATAACAACCATGATATTACGAGTATTTGATTGAATTTCGTATTAACGGCACCTAACGAATTTATCTAACTAGAATTTTAGGTCGTGTTTCACTTCAGCTGGTTAAAGACTTTGGCTAGACCGTCCCATGGCATTTTCTGCCTTCCTTCTTAGGTACAAACCTATACCCAAGTCATTTTTATGTAATCTAATGTATCTAAATCGACTTCCACGTATTCACTCGAACACCATGTAGAGGCAAGATAGCCAGTTCCTCCGTGGTTGAGGATTCCGGGTGAAGCTCGCTTCCACCACCAGGTCCATTCAATCATCACTTACCATCAGGTGAGATACAGGCTAAGAGCTTCCTCGTGGATAAAAAAAAGGTACCTACTTATTTTTCCCAATAAAATAAATTAAATGGCGTTACAAAACAAATACCTAAACAACAAGAGGACAAACAACGTAATCAAGTATCATTTTGCTAATAGAAAAATAAAACTTACAGTTTCTTTACATCATTCCAACAGGGGCTTGCGTTTCTTTCGGGAACGCCCACAAAGCTCTCGGCCAATGGTAGCGCCGCTGGGGAGGAGCGACCGCCGGCGCTGGACGTTTAAATTTGAAACCCTGTTCGCGGCCGTCAATCTGTGAAAAGATATTTCAGCGTGAACATGACTTGTCTCGGATCATTGAAACTCAAACGTCGGAGTTAATTGATGCGGAGTCGGAGTGATGTAGTTGAGTAGTGTTGCGATTTGAAATATCGTGTAAGAATGTCGAGTGAAGGAGAGTTGGAGGGTAGTAGTGGTGTAGGTANAGTAGGTATTGGGGGCCGGAAGGCTTTGCGGACGCCGAAGTGCGCGCGGTGCCGCAACCACGGGGTGATCTCCTGCCTGAAGGGGCACAAGAGGCTGTGCCGCTGGCGCGACTGCCGCTGCCCCGGCTGCCTGCTGGTGCTGGAGCGGCAACGGGTTATGGCCGCGCAGGTAAGTTTGTTTTGATTAATCTGTAACGGCTTCTTTGCTTATTATCTAGCCTAGATAAACGAAGAACCTTGATATAGATACTTCTTGAATGGATAGCAAGTGTAGAAGTAGATTAAAATGCGCTCCGTGTCTTCTTCACTCATGTGAAGACAGCACCTTGTGTGAGATGTTTTAGTAGCATAGAATACCCTAAGTAATTGTGTAAAGTAAGTACTAGGTAGGTTTGCAAATTCCAGTAACCTCAAATAAGTGGGTAAACTCATTTTTAAAGGCTCTGACATTTCTTAGACGAATGCTGTACCGATTCTACTCGTAATATGAAGGTAATAATGGTTGACAGTCAACCGTTGACTGGAAGAGAATGCCATAATTTCTGTGTTACTGACTGCTGTCAAAATGCAAACATTTCCTCTAGCGGTGGTTATGATTTGCCGAAGGTGGCTCTGCGCCGGCAGCAAGGCGCGAGCGGCGCCGAGCCGGGCGACAGCGAGGCCGCAGCTTTGGCGGCGCGCAAGAGGGCTTACCGCGCCAGGCTCCGCTGCGTGCAGATGGCCAGAACTTATCCACCTATCTACGGTATGTAACAAGTTTTTCATCCATACCAATCCAATACTTTATTTATAGCAATACAGGATGAACAGGATGTACAAGAAAACAGAGCCATTTAGTAGCACTGACAGTTGCAATAATTAAAAAACAACGGAAATCACGTTTCGAAATTCGAATGCTGTTAACGAAAATCTATATATATAAAAGAAAGTCGTGTTAGTTACTTCGCTTTAACTCAAGAACGGCTGAACCGATTTCGCTGAAAATTGTCAGGGAGGTAGTTTAGAGCCAGGAGAAGGACATAGGATACTTTTTATCCCGTTCGAAATTAAAAAAAACGTCTGCTTATTTATTGCCATTAAGGCGGAACAAAGTTCGCCGGGTCAGCTAGTGATTTCTATTTTAGCTTAATTTCGGAGTTAGGCCGGCAATACACGGACAGCTCGAGCAGTTAGTCAGTGATCAACATACACGGACCGCTTTTGCAGTCAAGAGTCAACAGCTTGAAGCTGCCAGTGACAACTGCTTGAGCAGTTGGTATTAACTGCTCAACAAATCACAAGCGCGCGCGCCGTGGAATGAAGAAAGTGGGCGGAGGTCACTGCGCGAGAGCTGTCGACAGCTCGAGCAGTCAGTGCACAGATTAGAGAGTAGGTATGTGTCAGTGTATGGCTGGCGACTGCTTGACCTCACGATGAAAATTCACCGTGCTGTCGACCGCCCGAATCAGTTGCAACTGCTCGAGCGGTTCGTGTATGTGCGTCCATAGAACTCTGCAGTTCACTGTGCAGTCGCAGCTTGAAGCTGTCGACCCTGACTGCTTCAAGCGGTCCGTGTATTGCCGGCCTTACATACAACTTTAACTGCATACCTTTCGGCAAAATTAATATTTCTTCATTCATTCATCATAGGTAGGTAATCGTGAAAAAGCTTTCTTTGGAGAATTAAAACTTCTCGTATAATAATAAGGTATCAATAAATAGAGCAATAATTTTCGTTTAAATTAAAGTCGACCATATTTTGATATTCAAGATAATATTACGATACGGGAACCCACTAAAATCTTAAGATTGTTTAATGGCATAAACGCAGCTGTATTGACGCTGAACCTAGTGAAATGAAAATAAACAAACACGTAAAACCTTAAGATGGCAAAGATGCAGTAGCTAACACATGTTGCCATTTGGGCACAATTTGGGTGTGACTTAAACATTAAAAAATGTAACATGAAGTTCCATTTGTTTACTACATAAATGCGGTACGAAGAAGAATTGGTGAGATAATAAAAACCGGCCAAGTGCGAGTCGAACTCGCGCACCGAGGGTTCCGTACAAACCTGCACACTTAGGCCTAGCCTAGGTGGGTAGGTATTTATTGTTGAAGTAATAGTGCACAAAATCAGCGACAACAGCCCAATGGTGTCGGTGTCGGACTGGCCGAATCGAGAACGAGATCCCAAGAATGTGCGGTTTGAGTCTAGCTGCTGTTTTTGTGATAAATCCACCCGTACAAGCATATTTTATCTCACCACGAGGGGTTCTTCTTTTTTACTTAAGTAGGTACTATACTTGAGTACAAACGAAGGTAATAATACCGCCGTCAGTTAATATGGTGTGATGGTGTTGGAAATGAATCCATCTCCCGGTGTCGCTCGCATGCACTTCGCCCATTGTTTTTGTAGTAAGCGAGTCGACACTGTCGAGTGTTTCGTTTCCCGATCGTGAAATGTTAAATGCGAATTAGCTGAACAAATATTTGTGTTGGACCGTTGGGAATGAGTTAAAATTGAACATTTTAAAAGGGACATGAGCAACCACACCTTTCTGCACCTTCTACTTTACTGTGATTGACAACGAAATACACACAATATACAAAGACTCCTAATTTATTTTAATGAAAATAGTGAAAGTTACAGATCTCTACCTACTCATATTAACTAATTAAGTGTAACATGGAAAGCATTGGGGGTGGCCTATGTTCAGCAGTGGACGTCCTATGGCTGAGATGATGATGATGTGAATACACAGCCAAACACACTTCCAAATTATAAGAAGTAAAAATTAGCTTAGCAGAAACCTACTTGTTTCCTGATCTCAATGACAAATAGACTACAGACTGTTAATTTATTTTNAAAATATACAAGACTAATTTAATTTAATAAAAATTAAGTAGTAAAAGTTAGTCTACCTACTCGTATTAACTAATAAACTTAGGGTACTTTGTACCTTTTAATGGCAATTATTAATAATAATAAACAAATTAATTAGCATTAGGTATGTGAATGCACAGTCAAACACTTCCTGTCCTGGGTTCTTCAAATTATAAGAAGTAAAAATTAGCTTAGCAGCTAACCTACTTGCTTGATATCAATGACACATAGTAAATATTATAATAGTTATTTATTTTCTATGACCTCGGTAAAATCTAGTCATTGACTTCAAAATTGTTTACAAGAGCGACATGCGGAACTTTTACGACAATAGACTACAGAGGCTTTTAACAAATAACAATTAAAACACATATCGGATAGCGCACGATGTTAAAATGGTACAATTCTTTAGAACAATCAAAAATAGAGCACCGCAGACGCAATAAAACATTTGAGACGGTCTTGAAAATGTCCCCGCTTCATTACAGAACAAAAGCTGTCATCCAACACTCGGCAACATTTCACTGTCTATCAAAAAAGCTAAAATAATTTCTTTTAACTATTTTTATGGGCTCTAAAAAAGTGTAAAGATTGTTTTACAAGAGAACGCGGAGGCGGCTCTTTGTGAGGGTGTCAAGTTACGCCGAGCTGTTGACTGTAAACATGTCTTTCCGCTTTGTTGAACGATAGCCCAACGGGTGCCAAACTTTGTTAGATCTAGGATGTGGATGTGTCACTTTTTATACGTATTGCTACCGGGGACATTTTAAACAATCCTAAAATTATAAGTTAGTTGACCATCACTTCTAGTGTTCAACATAACGCGTAGAGTCGATCAGGAAAACATTTTAGGGGGCCAGAGTATCTTATCTACATTGAAATTGAAAGCTTAATCTGAATATTATGCGAATCCGAAAACATCCGCGTCAAATCAGCTCTTATTCCANGTGTGGATGTGTCACTTTTTATGCGTTTTTACCAATTATTGCTACCGGGAACGACATTATAAACAATCCTAAAAAAGTTAGTTGACCGTCACTTTTAAGTATTCAACATTACGCGTAGAGACGTTCAGCAAAACATTTCAGCGGCCAGGTTATCTAATTTTAAATTGAAAATTAAATCTAAAGATTATCCGTGTCTAATTAGTTCCTATTCCACAGAGAATCTGAGGCTAGTCAGCCACGACCCCGCGTGGAGCGAGCGAGTGCGCCGGCGCAGGGCGTTCGCGGACGCGGAGTTAGAACGCGGTGCGCCCGCCCAGCCTGCCGCCGCCTTCTGCCGGCACCTGCTGGCGGCGCTGCTCACCAACTACGCGCCCGTGCCCTCGCAGCCGCAGCGGCAGAAAATATCCTTCTCCATCGAATCCATTATTGGCGTTCAGTCCAATTAATAATGTACTTGGAGGTTGGAGGATGCGGAAAACACTCGCTCTCCGTTTTATAGATGCTGTCAGTAATGCGTACCTATTACAGCAGGTTGAGGTATCTAACTAAGGTTATGATATTCTAAACAAATGGATTGGAATTTAAACTTTCAAGAATTAAATAACTCAAAAATAAAATCAAAGCCCGTGATTGGTTCAACATTTAAATTCAACCGATCACTGCTAACTTGAATATCTAAATCGATTTTTTAGCTGCATTTTAGCATACTGTACAGCCACATACATACCATCATTGGTTTCAGAAGTGCGAATTAGATTACATGACAAGTGGACTTCAGCTGATTTTAGTTTCTATGATCTCGATACTTAAAAGTACAGAAGGCCAAAGAAAACAAACAAGTATTCGAACAATGAGTGCTTTATTAACGATGCTTTTTTAAGAATGTCTATTGTGAGGTCTGTATGTTACAACCGAAACTTAAATGTTAACTCACTAAGTTTTATACCATTATGTTAAGAGTCAGTCGCCTAAGACATCTGCATACTGTAACATGTAATTGATGTCTAACAGTTGAAACTGTGAGTACAGAAATATGATTGTGAGAGAGTACCGTCAACAATACAACAAACTGATGATTTTCTGTTGAGCAGCCATTAGTTCTTCACTTACTAGTATTACAAATCTAAGCTTGGTATACCGTTGGCCGTACTATACAATAATAATATTATGTATATCTATCTGAAGTACTTGTAGTTAATGTAATGTTTTTCTTATTAACGTTCAATATGTGATATCATCTTCAGTAAGAAACGTTTAAAAAAATCTGTACTCAACTTGTATAGGAATAGTGGTTATCAAATTGTTACAATTAGACAACAATTTATTTCATGATCATAAAGACAGTAATTTATTAATACTAACTTCACCAATACATTTATAAAAAATGGAGTGATTTGTAAATACCTACAACTGGATTTGTTTGTGAATTAGGTAATTAGGATATAATACATAGTATCATAAAATATGGTATATAATAAATATCTATAACTATAAAATAAATGTTAAATAATCGATTCGTCGAAAAACAATCAACTTTTTTCTTCTTTTTTTTTCTTCTAGAGTATTAATTTTATGGCAACAAATTGTTTTAAGTAAATCATAATCAACTTTTAGTTGAGATTTACAAAGTGTCGGTGCTTTAAATTACATTAAACACGTTTTTTGTGTGCGATAACAAAGTTTTTTTCTTTTTCTACATATTAAATAAACGCACCACTGGGCATGTATATTTATTAATTTGACTATTAACAGAAATTTAAATGCCTTAAGTTTTTATATTACAACGAAGCTGATAAATATTGATATTAATATTTGGCAGTAAACATACATACATAGCTAATCCTGAATAGTGCTAAGGAAATTTGTTTTTTTGGTAATAGAATTAGAACCTCGTTATAAAGCTAGTTAATAATATGACAACTATTTGAAGATCCTGTATAGTTTCGATTATCAGTAAAATTAAGGTGTATTAAAAATCATTCAAATTATCATATATAAAATATAATTGATATTATGTAGTTTCTTTTGGTTCAGCGGAGAATTGTCTAAATTCATATTTTTAACAATAGTTTGGGGGAAAATTGAGTTTTACTGCAAATCAGGTAGAAATAAACTACAGTAAAACATAGGAACTATTTAAATTGCAAGAAGTTAATAGAGAAATAAGTTTATAGAAAAAAAGGACAATTATTTATGGTATTGCTTTCGTTCAAAGTTATTTGGATGGTTAAGATAACTATTGTTGTTTTGGCCAAACGTTTTGGATCTTTTTTGCCCGAAATAATACGTGAATACTTATTTATGAGTAAAATGTATATTAATCCTTTTAAGATGGAAAAAGAAATGGTAAATAATAATAAAAATGTTATGTACACACACGAATGTATTTCGACGACAAGATTACTTTCATATAAATATGTAAATATATAAATACGTACCATAGAATAATAAATAATGTATATTGAATGTACAACAGAAAAATAACGCATCGCTTGCAACGTACAATATATCGACAATTAATCACAAATGTTCGTCCGCACAATACAACTACAATATTCCACATACACCTCGAGGAAGGGAGTGCCTCACGAATGCCGCCTCATACGCTCACTCAAGCATGCGATCACTTAATAATCTATTATCACCGTTTCATTTTAGGAAAATCAAAAACTATTATAATAAAACTCATGACAATAAATCTACTTAAAAATAAATTACGCCACCCGTAAGGTTATGTTTTTTATTCTCTTAAAAAAATAAACATTGATTTACAAATTATTTTTAACAGACGACAATTTGAAATTTAATTTAAGTAACAATCAGAATTAAGCGCCTTGCAATAATGCGAATTCAAACGAGTTACGATTCCGAGTCGAATACGGACAAAGGACGCATCCATCCACAAGCTTCGGGCTTCGTTGGCACATGACAAGGAACGGGACTAGATAGGACTTGGGATAGGAACCGACCGGGACTCAGGGACCGAGGAGCGCCTACTCAACTACATTACATACTACATGTAAGAAGATGTGTAGTGATAATAAATAATTAAAGAACAGTGAAAGCCCCAAATTAATTTAGATCAGACGGAATGTAATTTTTATATCCCAAAAAAGAAAACGAATAATATCTGATGTTCTAAAGCTAGGATTGCAATTTTATAATAGTAAATATTCACTCGAACCACACAATTTCAGACAAACTACACATCTGAAAAACTAAATGATATTATTATAACAACTGTTTAAAGTCAGACTTTTAGCATTTTTAAACAAAAAATAACAATTTTACTTGCATACAATAATATACATCGTAATATGTATTTACATATACATAATATTAGTTTCATTTAATATACACGTAAATATTACTTTATATCCATCATATAGACGCCCCGCGGCGAGCCCGCCTCGCCGCGGCCGCAAACATACAAATCCATTAAAACAATATACAACGTAAAAATACTATTTGGTACAATTATATAGCAGAAATCTAGCCGTCATAAAATCTATCAAAGCAGTATATTACATCTACACTGACACAGACATATAATCATACACATATATTAGTCAAAATAAACCAGTCACAAATCACAGTTGACATAAATTCTCGATTTCACTAAGTCTTGTAATTTACATAAAATAATAGTTAACTCATCATTTAAACACTAAAACACATGTATTTGAAAAAGCCTAAGTGGAGACAAAATAAATGCTTTTGGAAAATAATGACCATAATCCATATTTTAGAAAAATAATTATCCAGATATGTGAACGTAATTTTAAAAACATAATGTGTTAGTAAACAAATATCTTCTACCAAACGGTTCTGTTGAGCAGCGAGACGTGACCACTACACACTAGTCCGACACGTCACCTGGCCTTTCTCCAGCTGTTAGGATACCGCGTGATTCAGTACTTTTACAAAATGTTACGCACATCGGTATTGTATAGAAAAGCTCAGGAACAACATGCAGAAACTGACTTTATTATACCAATATTGTTTACCACTAAAATATATATTTTATCCCAACATATAGGCGAAAACATTATAATGCTTTAGTAACGACTATACGATGCAAATTAATCCGTGATGAGACTGTTTACGAAAAACTTAAGCTCTAACTAGGATTTTACATAACCAAATCTGAAATTGTACTATAATGTTAAATAAATCATTACTAAATGTCCTTGCCGCATCAATTTAAGGACATAATAATACGTTTAAGAGAAAAAAATTTAAGAAAATCACTTTTTTTTTAATAGCAAAGTAGCTACCGACAAATTAATGTATGTCTCATCACCGAATCAACAATCTAAGTATGAACTATTACTAGGTTTCATGCAAATATAGTAGATATTCCGACCACAGCTAGCTTAATATGTCACCACTTCAAAAAGACTGTGAGTAATATCTACGACTACAGGCCAACGAGTGACACTCAATCCGTTAACAAATCGAAACGGCACGTAAGCATGCAACGTGCGACATTTATTACACAATACGAATACAATAAGCCTAGCACCCCGTGTATACGTGACGTACATCCCACCCGCCGACCCGGCCGCCGGTGCGACCGCCGTGGACTCGCCGCCTACATCTCAGCTAACGAACGGAAAACGCTCAGGTACAAACGACGTAAAATAGTGTGTGCGACAATTTACATGTATAAGGTATCGCGAGTCGCGAGTCTAAGGTTACGTGTTGGCACAAAGGGCAGCTGCGCGCCGCGTGGTCGGTGGCGAGAGTCCCTACTCCGCAATGTCCACCCGACCCCTGCTGACATTGATTCCCCTGCAACAACATAATACTTCTATCATTTTCATTACGCCATACAGATATTGCAACTCGTTTAGCNAGTTTAGCTGTCACTGTATCTGACAAAAAATATCTACAAACAAATTTTAGATCTGAAAACTATAAATTATAATTAACCGTGAAATAAGATTATGTGAGCTAACGGATCTCATTTAAACAGACAATAAAAGCAGAGTAAATACAAATGACTAGGTCATCCTCATAGAAACCCACCGAGCGCGCCAATACTTATGCGGCGCGCACGCACACACTGACAAAATTCGGCGCAACACCCCGCTAAATTTTCCGTTTGCGTTTCTATGAAGATGACCTACTCATTTGTATTTATTTACTCTNCGTTTAGCTGTAACTGTATCTCTGACAAAAAATATCTACAAACAAATTTTAGATCTGAAAACTATAAATTATTATAATTAACCGTAAAATAAGATGATGTGAGCTAACGGATCTCATTTAAACATAATAAAAGCAGAGTAAATACAAATGACTAAGTCATCTTCATAGAAACCCACCGAGCGCGGTTTGTATGTGAGCGCGCTAATACTTATGCGGCGCGCACGCACACTGACAAAATTCGGCGCAATACCCCGCTAATCCACGCTAAATTTTGCGTTTGCGTTTCTATGAAGATGACCTACTCTGATAACAGTTATCGATTGGTGTCTTTAACTACGCTCATAATACTCACCATAAAGCAGCGTGGTCGCCTAGATGCCGCACATGTCGGTGAGGCGCGTGCGCAGCGCGGCGGGGAACTGCGCCGTGAAGTGGTGCCAGTTGTCGTCGCCCACCTGGTTCTTGAAGCCGTGCAGGATCTTCGTGAACATGTCCTTCAGGTCGTCCTTGGGGTGCGTCCACGAGGCCACCGCGTCGCAGAAGAACATGAAGTCGGGCACCACGCCGCCCGGGTTCACCTGGATCATCTGGCAGATGCCGCGGAAGGCCGAGTCCTTCTCGTCGTTGTCGCGGATGTTCCGCAGCGACGTGCACCTGGACAGAACCACTCGTTGTCGCGCGTGTCTGTGCGCGCTGCCACTCAAAGCGTGATATTGCGAGCTGGTCGACTCGACTCGCTCGAAATATCAAATCTAATGCCGTGATTCAATATTGAGTTCAAAGAAGCAACACTAAAGACTGTGGTGAATATATATAATATACAGTAAAATATTAGTCGATATTATAAAAAAAAGTGATCTCAATGAAAAAATATTGAAAGTGACAGGCACACAAAATATAATTTATTAACTCATGAACACTAATTAATAATGAGCGGTCCAAACTGTAAGCGAATTATGCAAGTACAAGAGTCGTATAAATATACACAGATAAATTAATTGTTAATTGCACAAACAAACTACTAATTATTATTAATATGTACAGATTTGGCTTGCAGTTTGGGTAAATAATATAATTTAAGTAGCTTATATATTTTAGAAAGCGGATGGTGTTCAATACACAAAGTACAGAGCACTGAAAATAAGATGATCTGACAGATACCACCCCGTAAGTCGGCGAATGTTTCAAAGTGTGGCCGTTTAGTAGTA